CTTATTCTCATAACACTGGCCAATGTGGTTGTCAGACAGGATTTCAGGAGCGTGTTCACTAATTTTCCAGCGATTTAGGGTGCCTGCCATTCATCTCCATGGTCTGGATCCAAACAAGAGTTTGGTGCTTAACTAGGCCAAGGTAACCTTAGGCAGCTCAAAATTTTCAGTTACGACCCAAGTAACATCCTCCTGACTTTCATAATATAACTGCCATATTTATTCCTGAACATTACAATTTTAATTTTAAGCAAGGCTAGATGGGCTCAGTCTAGAACAGTGTCCTCTCACCTTTCATGATGGCTGCATTAAGAACCACAGCCACAGTAGTGGGCTGGCGTCTTCCCCTTGCAGAGAAGCCAAATGCTCTGCATGTCCTGGTAAGCCACTTCCGGTCCTACCCCAAACTGACAACCAACAGCACCTTCCTTCCCTCCTGGGTGGAATGTCAAACCTTGATTTGTAAGGAAATACGAACAGCTTACTCCTACTGCTCTCCCCATGCAAGAAGCTGTATGTGAGGACCAGTCACTTGGGCATTGCTTCAAAAGGCACATTTATTCCAGTGGCAATTTAAATTAGTAGAGAAGGAAAAATTAAGATTAAAAACAAAACAAAAAAAATAGGATGGGATTTGTGGAATACATGAAAGTAAACAAGAAACTGGGATCTATACAAACCGAGCTCCTTCCCAATAGTTTAACCAGAGTTCCTAAGGTAGGAGAAATCACAGTTATATCATGACGCACACAGGCCTTCAAAAAATACTGTTTAAAAAAGTGAGAACGCTCAAGCAGCTTGCCCTGATGTCCAGTTCAAGAGTACGCAGTGCAGACGGGCTGCAAAAACTCAAAACTACATGACAAAGAAAATTCAGTGCAGATCACAGGCTTTCATAAATTATCGAAAAATCGTTGTATATATTACTATTTAAATAACGTATGAGAAACATTTTGAAATAATTAACGTGTGTTCACATTCCATGCATTTTCTAGTAGGTTAAGCCCTGGGTTTGTGTCTTCATGCTCGCGTCCTACAAAGCTCTATTCTTTGACAAATCCAAGCATTCCTCAGACTGAAATGGAAGTAGCCAGGGATTTTGTCTACTTACCCTCTTTACCGCAGGCCTGACCTCACAAGAGCTACTTGTTATTACCTCTGGCAGAGAAGATGACGGGAAAATCTAAATGTTTGCGGTTTTATTCGCTGCCTTAGAAAAATCCCTGGATGTCACAGACACCACCTGAATTTTTTTTCAGGGGCAAGAACCAGCTGCTCTCTCCCTCCTGATTAACCCACCTCCCTCGTCCAAGGGCCCAAAGCAGTGAGACCCCCTTTAATTTTTCCCTGTGGTTTTGCAGCACCCTCCTGGAGCAAAGAAGGAAACACAACAAAACTTGAAAACAAACCAACAACAGCAACAACAGAAACTCCCAACAAACAGGTAGGCTGAGCCGGCCGCCTCCTCGGAGGCGGAGGCTCACTTTTTACTGCAGAATTCGGCGCTGCTGAGGAACTTCTTGATGACCAGCCCCAGACAGACGACCAACAACAGCATGTAGCCCACGGTGCCCAAGAAGGTGGGCGCGTCAGGTGGCGCCTTGAGGAACTGGCGCAGGCCCTCCTCTACGTAGTACACCTGGTCGTAGATGCTGAGGAAAGTGAAGATGTGGAAGAGCTGGTGGCTGTGGCCGATGATGTCGAAGAGGCCTGGCTGGATGCGCTCGGGGATCTTGCTCACGTTGAAGAAGGCCGCCACCACCAGCCAGAAGTAGCGGCGGTAGAAATGCAGGAAGAGCGTGGGGTTCTCGCCGCGCAAGTCGAAGAGCCAGCTCTCGAGCATAATGGGGCAGGCCATGCTCAGGGGCATGATGAAGACAAAGGTGCGCAGCGCGAACGGGTAAGAGCACCAGTCAGTGCGGCTCTTGCAGCAGGCCACCGTGCAGGTCACGGCCAGCACGAAGGCCACGGGCAGCACGAGCGCGCGGTAGGCGGCGATGAGGCCGGTGCAGTCCACGTGCCAGCCCAGACGCTGCTGTACGTACGGGGTCATCACCCTGGCGTCCAGCAAACTCAGGCCCGGCAGCAAGTAGTAGTAGTATGCCACCGTGCTGCCGAAGCCGTAGTAGCTGATGGACGCGTAGTCCAGGTAGAAGAAGGCGGCGCGCAGGCGCAGCGACAGGCAGCTGAACACGTGTGCCGTGCAGCTCATGGCGAAGGTCAGCAGCACCCCCGACGCGTAGCACCACAGCGGCAGCAGCCATGGGTGGTGGAAGGGCACGTCGCGGCCGCTCAGGAAGAACAGGTGGCAGAACTTGCTCAGGAACAGCAGCAGCGGGATGAAGTGCGTCCAGAAGTTGAGCGTCTCGTTGGTAGGCTTCAGCACCGAGGCTAGGCACTCCTGCGCCGTGCACGGCAGCCGCCGGTAGCCCGACAGGATGAAGCACTCCACGAAGTCGTCGGGCACCTCGTCCCAGCGCAGCAGCGGCTTGGCGGATGCCGGAGGGTCCCCGGGGGCCGAGGGGTGGGGGCGCGAGGCGGCCTCTGAAGCCGCCGCGGTCGTGCCGGGCGGGCCTTTTGTGCCCGCGCTCCGGGGCTGCAGGCGCCGCGGCATGGTGCCCGGGGCTTGTCTAGGGCGCGCACAGGCGACCTCTGGCGCCGGCTCC